GAAGAAAAAATTCTAAGAGGGTACCCGATCGGGTATCCGTAAGACCCGATCGGGTCTAATTCCAAGAATTTGGGAATTTAATTCGAATTAAATTACCCGATCGAGTAACCCCAAACTCGATCGGGTGAGAACCCCTGGAGCAAATTTTAAAAAATCGACGTTATACCCGGTCGGGTATTTGACTCACCCGATCGGGTACGCTAAGCTGCAGAATCAAAGGCACCTTCGAATTAATTTACCCGATCGGGTATTCGAGTCACCCGATCGGGTACTATACTCTGGAAAGCAAAAAATACCTTCGAATTAAAATACCCGATCGGGTATATCGGGCTACCCGATCGGGTACACGGGATTTTAATCAGATTTCACCCCATTTTCGGCCATTTCATCTTCCCCAAACTCCCAAATCTCGAACCCCTCTTCCCAAATCCCCCATTTTCGAACCTCCAAGCTTCCATAACTCACCCAACACTCAACCAAATCCTCTCATACCACCACCAAAACACTCCTCTCACCACCCTCTCCAACCTCATACCCAAAAATCACCACACCTCCCTCTCTCTCCAAAAATCCGAAACCCTACCCCAAAATCCCCAAAATCCGAATTCAAGCTTGAAATTTGGACAAAATGGCACCAAAAAGAAGCCAACCGGAGAGCTCTAATGCTAGAGGACCGATTCCGGGGTATGAGACCATCCGCTTTGGGCCGGGAGATCACCGCAAACGATTTTTGGCCATCATCAAAAGGCAAGTAGTTCCTTCTAGATTCCTATGTCATAATGCTCTTACACAACTAGGCTTGTTGAATGGAATGAGGGAACTATTTGATAGGTTGGAGATGAATTTGATTTTTAATATGAAATATAATTGTGTTGACAAAGTGATTTATGAGGTGATGAGTTCGGCTAAAGTTGTTCTACATGATGACCCGGCGGAGTTCCTCTACGACAAGCTCACGTTTCGTTGGTTAAACAACGAATACTCAATAACGAGACGTGAGTTTGCGGAACACTTCGGCATCCCCGCACCCCATGAAAGGGGGATACCGGAGAGCACACTTGACGCGCACACTTTATGGGCCAAAATGACCAGAGAAAGGAAGGTGAACGCGTCTAAATTGTCCATTAGTCACGTTCAACATCCTCTTCTCCGGATGTTCCTAAAGTTCTTGTGCAATTCTTTGCTTGGTCGCCCCAACAATCACCATACTCGGATGGGGGACGTGGCCGTACTCACTCTAGCCCTTTTTCATAGACCCACGGAATATAATCTTTGCAACTTAATGTGGGATCATTTGGAGGAAGCTTGTAAGAAGACCGGGAACATTGTGGTTGGGGGGGTCATAATGCATTTGGTGAGCAAATTCGGCTATACGGAAAATGCTCCAATCCACCCCGATTCTTTGATGCACATTGGTTGGTTGTCCAATGCGGGTTTGATCTCTTTGGGCAACAAAGACCACAATGGAAACCAACGCTATCGGTGGCACATGAAATACCCCGAACCCACCAAATATTTCCCCCTCCCTTGTGATGAATTGCCTAAGCTTAGGTATAGGATGGCCACATTCGAGATCCCCCATTACCTCCTCCCAAACAACATTCCACCCCACCTCCAAGATCAAGCCAACCCACCCGAAGAACAACCCGAGCATCATCCCGATCAAGCCGACAATCAAGGACATGAAGATGTCCACAATGCTCTTCCCGACCCTCCTCAAAACCCGCCACCCCAAGACTTTTTCCAACAACTCTTGGCGGGTCAACAATCCCTCCTTGCCGGGTTCCAAACCATGAGCCTCGATTACACAAAGATGGGTACGCAATTTACCCAACTTCAAGAAGAGATAGGCCAATACCGGGCGGAGCAACAAGCAAGGGACCTCCAATTTGATGCTTTCCGGACCGAACAACAATCGGCATTCCAAAGGCTAGAGGAGCAAAGGGCGGCCGACATGCAACGGTATGAAGAGGACTACCGGAGGATGTATGGGCCTACCTACTCATACATGTCCAACATTGGCGGATTTGCATCTATGTCCTCACCACCACCGGCACCTTCGTGGTATAACCCCTCCGATTGGGGTAATTTTGGCGGCTCTACTTCCGGCGGTGGTGGCTATGATGGCGGGGACACTACCATGGGAGAGGGAGGCGATGATGACATGCACGGCGGCGGCTTTGGAGGAGGCTATTACGGTGGCGAAGGCGGGCACTAGGGATAGTGCCATGATTCAAGTGTGGGGGAGGGAAATCCATTTCTTGGTATGTACACTCCCTTTGTTTTGATTTTACCTTGTACTAAGCATTATTTTCTTGTTTATTCAAAAAAAAAAAAAATATAAAAAAAATAAATAAATAAATAAAAGAAATGAAATGCTAGTTAGGTTGAAAACCCAAAAAGGGCAATCTAAGCAACAAAGGGCTTACAAAAAAAAATGAGTGAGTGGTAAGAAAAGGAAAAGAAAAGAGATGCTAGGATGAAAACCTGAAAAGGCTCCTAGGCAAAATGAGAGATATGAGAGAAGCATTTGCGTTTTTGCAGGGCACTATCCCTTGGGGAGGAAGAAGAAAGGAAGAAGAAGAAGTGAGGAGCATAGAAGACCATTAAACCCAAGGAAAAATTTGTTTTGTAACTTCATTTACAATGCTTGGTGGTTTTAGTTCCTTATTTCTTCTTATCTATGAACTCATGGTCTGTTGATGGACATTATGTAAACATTTGGTTTTACTCGAGGACGAGTAAATAAACTAAGTGTGGGGGAGTTGACATTCGTGTAATTGCCATATTTAAATTTGTACTTTTAATTAGTTTCGAGTGATTGTTACTCTGGAAATTACACACTTTTGGTGTAAATAGTTTAGTTTGTAAAATATTTGTAATATGTTTAGATTAGGTTTATTCTGAGCTCAAACAGGTCCAAATACACTTTGGAGAACATCACCAGTGGAAGGAAGGTGCAAGAATGCAAGAAAAAGATTGAAGATCTCGTTTTTGGTCTGTACCCGATCGGGTATGACCTATACCCGGTCGGGTACCCTTCTGAAATTTCGAATCAAATCAAATCCGGGAACAAGGCATCATGCGGGAAGATTTTAACACGTTCGGGTGTCCATACCCGATCGGGTGACCGACAGACCCGATCGGGTATGACCCCATTTTTCAGCTTCGCCGAAGCCACATATGGTACCCGATCGAGTGGGCTGAAAACCCGATCGGGTACACGACCCTGCAAGCCTAAAAAGCCTATAAATACACCCTATTTCCTCCACAAGAAGATCACCAATTCACATATACTCTTTAGCTCAGTTTAGATTAGTGTTTTCTTTATATTTTCTATCATGTTTAGTCTCCAAATGAGGAGCTAAACTCTTCCATCTTGGTTTTGCTACTTTGAAGCTTAATGAATTTGTAAGTTGTGAGTTATTCTCTTTAATCTTCTTCCTTGAATATTAATTCTTCCTTTAAATACTATTTCTATATCAATGTTGGGGAGTGTTACTAAGATGACAATTAGTTAACATCTTGACATTAGTTATAGTAATAATTATTTCTTCCTCTACGTTAATATTGGGGAGTGTTACTAAGATGACAATTAGTTAACCTCTTGATATTAACTATAGTAGGATTCATCTTCTTTAATATTCTTTCTTGAGTATTAATTAATTCCTATTCATATTTCATATTAATATTTTGAACATTACTTAAAGGATCAACTAGTTTTGTTTCATATATTAATTAATACTAGAATCGGTCGATTAATACGCTTGTTATTAATTCGGTCCTTTCATGGTAGTAAACTTGGATTATTAATGCATGCATCTCATGGTTAATAATCTAAGGGGAATTAATTATATTGATTAAACCAATAAACCGCTTGTGTTGAGGTTATCAATCTCAATCGTTTTCATCTTAAGTTTATTGCTACTATCAAGTTAATATACGGCGCTTGTTCTATATTGACTCGATAGTAAGTTTTATTAATGAACGCTTCTCGTTATTAATAACTACCCTCGATGAACTGGATATACTCCTCGATTGAGTATTCGAGAGGAAGATAGTTAAAGATATAACCGGGATCGACGAACATTTCATTAAGTGGATAAAAGCAAAGCCAAGTCTTTTTCTCATTAATTAAACTCATTTAAGTCATTCATCTTAGTGTTAATTAAATCAAATCAAATCTAAAACCCCCCCTTTGTTACTAGTTAATTAAAAAGAGAAATATTCCTTTCCCTGTGGATACGAACCTTACTTCGCTATACTACGTATTAGTGTCGTATTGATATTTATTTTGAGTGCACCTCACGACAAGTGCACGCCAGCTGTACGGTGCCCAGCCGTACAGCCGGCTGTATGGTATACGCTTCCCCAAAGATATTAGTGTAGTGGCCACAAACACGACATCATATGTTTGCTATTTAGCAATAATACAAGGTTTCTATTATAAGGTACTCTCTCCGTCCCAAAAAGATTGGTCAATTTGACTTTTCTTGGTCAATGGTGACAGAGTTTGACCAACGATATCTTTTAATACAAAATTATTTAAAATATAAAAATTATATTAACATATTCTTTATTATAAAATCTTTCATCAAAGTATAAAATTTATAAATTACACATAAATATAATATAAAAAATCATTGTCTAAACTTTAACACCATTGACCAAGAAAGTCAAAATGACCAATCTTTTTGGAACAGGGGTAGTATATGATATGATTTTCTATTTTAATATCACTGTTATTCTTACTATAAAGTTGTGTTATGCAGTGTTTATGAGCAGAAACGGATATCTGAGTGTTTGGATGAAAGTGTAGAAATACTTATAACTTATTTATGTGTGCTTCAAATTACTCCTAGAAGCAGTTTTTTAGAAGCTGGGGGGGCAGCTTTTGAAAATTAGACCTGATTATAATGCTGCTTTTGAAAAAAAAGCAGAAAAAGAACCAGTTTCAAACACCTGCTTAGCAGGAAAGATCAAAGCTATTCATTTTGCAACACACTTAACGGATATCTCTCAAAAGATTAAGAAAACATTATAACCAACCTTTTCACTGCCTCCATGTCATCTTCTAATTAGAAGATGGGAAATTTTCATGTGTATAGGATTGAAGCATATTAGATTTATTCAAATAAGATCATAGTAGTTTTCATAAAACTAAGATTCATTTAATCCTAAGAAAGAATTATTAACTATTCTTATTCTCTCTATGATCAAATGAATCTTATTTTAGTAAAAAAAGACTTGATGATCTCACTTGAATACAAATGGAGTATATCTATAGTTTACTCAGATAAACTTTTATAAAGATCCGACCTATAAGACTTCAGCTTTACTTTGATTTGGAGCGGTGTATCTCCACCGCTCCTTCTCAACAAAGTCGGCGTCGAGAAACCGAGCAATGAATGCCCAAAACATATAAGTGTCTTCAAAGTTAGCCAAAAAGCTCAATGCAATTGTTACCACTGAAATCCCATGCTGCTTATTACCCTTCTTGTTAGCCTCCATTTCATTATTTGGTTTTTCCAAGATCCTATCCCTTTCTTCTTCATACTTTTGTGGAAACCAAATGTTGTGCAGAAACCCTTGGCTGAGGGATATATGGTACCTGTCAGCTAGCTTTTGTATGAAAGTGGGGTCCACTTTCTGACCCTCCCAGTCATACACGTTGAAAGCCAAAGCAGGTCCTCTGTCAAATTTGATTTTGGGCCCATAGATTCTCACCAGAGGAAAGCCATCCAGCCTGTTTGGATGCTGCAGCTTCGTGAGCGCAGTGACCAGCCAATTGATGAGGAATTTTCGTCTCTTATTCACCACCATCAATCCTAAGGAATCCACTTGATCCAAACACTTGCATTCCAGTCCTGTGAGTTACAATAGTGTGACAAACATTTAGTTGAAGTCTTGGTCATACGGAGTAATGATTAAGCCATAATAATGGCAAGATTATCTTTTAATTAGATTAAAATTTTCTAGTTTGGTCTGATTTGGTTTAGTCCTTGTCTAGCGTGATTTGATTTAGTGTGACCTAAATTTGTCTATTCAAGAATACATGTTTGCTCTATATGTATTTTTTAAATGTTAAAGTTTAGTCTAATCTAGTCATTTCTAGTATGGGACTGAAACATGTCCAATTAAAAACATTATAGTCCACGCCACTGTTTTGAGATTTCACCTCAAAAACTTTTACTTATATCTCAATTGATCTTTTGTTTGAGTATCGTATATGAATTCGTTTTTTAGATGTTTTTGTTTGTCTGATTATAATTATATGTGGGTTTGAGAGATAAAATTTTATGATAATTTTTTTAAAACGTTTCCAATTTCTTGCAAGCATACATAAGTTATATACATCATAGAAAATGTTTGATTTGTACATCCTTATTTCTACACAAATTAATTCTGGAATTTAATGAGTCCGCAGTTCCTCACCTTGTTTGACCCTGTTTGAACCCCAAAGTCCAAAGATTCTCTTAAAATGGGGTGAAAACTCCAACTTTAAAGATTAAAAGGGTGCAATTGCAAATATTTTGTTTAGAGTGCAAAATTTAATGTTTAGGGCATAAATACCAATAATTTCATAAATGCGGTCTAAACTCAAATTCAGTTGAAAATTATTGTACAAATTTGTATATGTAAAAAGATACGAAATTCATTTTAAAATATGATATTCCACTCAACTTGATATAAGTAGAAAGAGCAATTCTTAATATCCACAAAAATGTGAGATTCCACCCAACTTTTTTTTGTATGTTTCACTAAGATTGTCACATACCAAATTTGGTAAAGTTTATTTGATCATATATCATTCTTATTTTATTCTTACTTTATCAAATCAATATCAACAACATAAATTCATTTTGGGATAAGGGTCAGATAGGGCCTCGAACTCGAAAAAAAATGTCAAATAAGGTCATATTTCGGATGCTCTGTCTGGCCGACGCCATTTGGGGCGGTTCCCGATGGAATTTTTTGATGAAATTTTTTGAGCATCTTCCTCATTAAGTCTAGTTTACCCATACCAAATTTCAGCTAAAAATTCAACCGGGAAGGTAGTCAAATAATTTTCCGAAATGTACGGCGTTGTTTAACTTCACAGTTATCTTCAAAAATTCATTTGATGGGACGGAGTAATGACATTTAAGCCCTTCCTCCCATGATTTTAATCTTTTGAAATGTAACCTCAAATCCTATTCTTATGGTTTTGATCGTTTGAAATGGAACCCAAATATTAGGCATTATAAGTGGTTCGGTTACTCTTTCACCAATTATGCCTCCACTAGAATGTGCTCTTTCACCAAGTGAAAAGTCGACCACTAATTATGCCCCCACTAACAATATAGTATGCGTGATGACTCTATATTTACCAATTATGTTGGTTTTTAGGTTCACAGATGTATCTATCAAAGTAAAAGTAGCGCACTTAATGTTTCACCAATAAAGTCAAAACATTCTTTGTGTTATTTACTTTCCTGTCTCTTACCTGGAGAATCTGGTGAATAGGATTGAAGTGTTTGTGGCACAAGAGATACAATGCCTGCTGTTTTTGAGTTCTCCAGAATTGAAACAGCAGAGTTCTTGACAACCAAACACCCAAACCCTGTGGGATTGTCTCCAAATACCTTATAGAATGAGCAAACCAGAAAGTCTGGTTTGAAGAGAGAAAGCCCAAAGCTGTCCATATCCTTTGGTCCCAACCCACAAGCATCCAGCAAAACATGCCACCCATTTTCCTGAGCCACATTCATCCACTGATAAGAGTAACCCCCACCAGTTACTCTTGACTGAAGTGGGAAAACAAACAACCCCTTATCTCCCTTCTTCTTCTTGCTCCCACTCCCCCCCACTATCATCTTCTTCAGGTTGTCTGCATGAACTCTTAATCTTGGCCATTTGAACTCAGCTGAAGAAACCTGAGCTTTTCTCTTCTCTGCAGTGGTCACCAGTGTGTCCAGAGCTTCACTGCTGTGATCATACACTGTCAACAGCTTTCGGTTTGTTTGGAAAGGGTAGGACTCTGCCACAAGCTTGAAAGCAGATGATTTGTTGGCAGTGAACACCAGGGAGTAGTCTTTTTCAGAGATCCTGAGGAAGTCCATGATTCTTTTCTTCATCCCGAGCTCCAAAAATATTTCTTTCTCGAACGACGACGACGAGGGCGATGACGGGAGTTGACCCCCACCATTAGTAGTCAAGGAAAGCTGGGATTTGAGACTGACTGACTTAAAGTTGATGTCAAAGAAGGGGAAGTAATCCGGGTTTATAATCGGAGAAGCGACTGGAATTGACTGAACCTGCTGAGAGTACGAAAAGAGACCGATTCCGATGTAATCCAAACAGACATGGTGGGAAAGGGTGAGGTTATAGTATTCTTGAGCTCGGATGTTGTCGATTTGTCGAGTGTCGGCGTACTGAGGATAAGCAGTGATGAACTGGGAGAAAGATTCTTGGAAAGAAGGGAGAGATTCATGGCTAGTGAAGAAGGTGTTAGGGAAAAGAGAAGAAGTGGTCATATCTTCAAAGTCATGCCTGCAGGCAGAAGAAGTGTTTCTGAGGGGCTTGGATTGTTCATCATCTTTGCTTCCATGGCGGTTAAGTGGCTCCTGAGACCTCATCATGAGAGGGTTTGGACATAGGCCTTGAAAGCATGATGGGAATGGTTCATCATCTCCATCTCTCTGCATAAAGGTCACAGCAGTAGCCATTTTTTACTATCTGCTAAGAACTAAGCAGATGCAGAGAGCTGAGAGGTCTAGCAAGCTTTGTTGTTGGTGTTCTGAGATCATAAGTATGGGGATAGATGCTTACTGGTGAAGAAAGTGTTGGGGAATTTATTGTTGTCCTTAGCAGGGCATGAAAAGAATTGTTGAGTGGGTTGATTATGATTGTGTTGAGCCAGAGTTCTTGACTTTTTCTTCTCTTTTCCTGATTGCTCCTATTTGCTTTCTGTCCTATTTGTTAAAGTTGGCACCATCTTTTCCTCTTTATTAATTAATTGATTATGGGATTAATAATATTAAATTTGGGTAAAGTAGAATGTTTCCCCGCTCCATTGATGTGAAAATGATCACAGACGAGGATTTGTGGAAACATTGGTGTTATTATACGTCACATAGTTGTAACTCGTACTCTATGATCATTTTAACATGATCATAAAATTTCTGCACGCCCACTTAATAGGCTTGCAAGGGAAAATATTATAGATAATGGTTTTACCCAAATTCAAACTTGATAGATATGGTCAACTGTGTAATATGGATCTAAACATCGATATGCATTTAGGGATATATATGCATTGAGACTAAATTAGGGGCAAATTTTGTCGGTATAGTACTAAAACATTTGTTGTCATGTATTGATACAAGTAAAGATGTTTTCACAAAAACTATCAAAAGTGAAGCAGAGTTTTAATACACTAAAATTTGCTACAATTGTGTTTGATATTGATGTAGTATCTCATTATTTATATATACATTTATATTGTTTTTTTTTTGGAATACATTTATATTGTTTTAAAATGTGAGGAAGTGATCAACCTCAGCTGGTCGCTAAATCACTCTATCACACGGGAGGTTTCGAATTCGAAATTTAATGGAGAGAGTTTTAGTTCTATTTGGGGGTGTTTGGAATTGATCCTGCTTCTGCTTTTTTTTTAAGCATAAGCAGAATCAGAAACAGTTTCAGAAGCTAGTCTTCCTCAACTTCTAAAGAATTGCTTCTAGGAGCAATTTGAAACACTCAAAAGTACATCTTCACTTTTAGCCAAACACTCCAATATCTGATTTTGCTCTCTAAAGGGACAAAATCAATTCTAAGAAGCAGATTCAAACACGAAACACCTCCTTTATCAAAGGCTCCCCAGCCCCTCTCCGAGATCCAAACTCGAAACACCCCCTTTATCAAAGGCTCCCCAGCCCCTCTCCCTGACCCCTGAGGTGAAAAAAATACTCCGTATTGTTTTGCCAAGAGTAAACCTAAGATAGTTTTATCCATTGATCGACCACTTGAGTAATGGTTTGGCTAATAGTTAATTATGTGTCAAGAGTTTTGATCAAACGAGAATGATATTAAAGGAGAAATCTATAATGAAGACGGCATGTTAAATTTGAGAACTGTGAAAATTTGAAATCGGAATTTGCAACACCATTAGCGAAAAAATGGAGTGATATTCTTATAAAGATATTACATTTTTTGTCATTGTAAATTGGATTTTATCTAATATATAAAAATGTACGACAATAGATTAAATGAAAATGTGTTTGTTTGGCATCATTCGATCTTTTTTATTATGGGAACAACCAATCTCACCGTAATTCAGTCGTGTGTGTGCGCGTCTAGTATATTTGAGATGTTTTTACTTAAACGGTTTTTAGATCCAGACCAGATCAGATCAGATCAGATTTGGGTAGTTATAAAAAACATAGGAACCAGACTTTACCAGACCAGACTAGACCAGCAAATTTCAGTCCAAGTAAAAACATACTGAGTGTGCAAGTGTGTTTGTCAATGGACAAGATTTGCTGAGAATTTTTCACTTGAAAAATAAAACTTGTGTAATAAAATGTAATTCATTGGAAGTTTTTATACTAAAAAATCGATAGTATGTCTAAATCTCTCTTTTTTTCTATATGATCATATTAGTTTTTTTCCAAAATAATACTTTTTTTTGAAAGCTTCCAAAATAATACTTAGTTGATAGTACTTAAATAATTTACTTTATAAATAGACGATATGGACTAATATGTCTTTAATCTATTACAGAGTATTATTAAACTCTAACTTTCCTGCCACTTTCTTCTCATTTACTTTATAAATAGACGATATGGACGATATGGATTTTTTTACCATTCTCTGTTAAGCAGATGAAATTTATTCTATTTTAATAAGGCTGCCATAATCTCCTTTTTAAGTCTATTGCTACTATTAATGCTTAATCTATTTAGATTAATGATTTGAGCTTTACCTTTTCTTATTTCCATTTTAAGACAAAATTGTCATATATGCTCACTTCAAACTTTATTCTTTTTCTTAAAACATTGCCAATTCCAAACTTTTCTTACCTAAATTTCTTTGTTTTTATTTTTTTTACAGATTCTTCCTTGATATTTTCACTTTTCCGGCCAGGTAATTTTGCTTTTTGTTTTCAGAATTTTTTCGTCTAAATAATATTTGGGTTCGTGGAAGCTATTCTCTTTCTATTTGTGTTTACACTTCTTATGATGTTTTTTTTTGTTGAATTCTGAGTTCTACACTTTGGTGAGGGATAAAAAGGTTAAGTGGGGAAGCATTAGTTTCTTATAAGAAATTGCTCTAAATTTGATTAAAATATAGATTAAGGGCATAACTAGAAGCAGCCATATTTTATTCTCAAATAAGATTTATTCAGTTCTGTTCGAAATAGAGCTTCTTATTTTGAATTGGAAAGCATATGTGTTGTTTTTCTGGCTTCAGCAACCTGGAATGGATTGTAAGGGTATAGTCCCTGGTGAACATTCGATTATAACCCTGAAAGTTTAATCCTTTGTGTATTGCAATTCCATATGATCTCTTCGTTGGTTTCCTCTTCTATTCACCATATTTTTATTGCTGAATACTTTGATTCTCTATTGGCTCGAAGCTCTCCTTTCAATGTCTTTTTAAAGAATGTAGTGTGCAGTTGTTGTGCTAAACAGAAAGTTGAACAACATAGTGAAATAATGCCCTTTTGTCGTTAATCATACGTAGAATATATTTACATTTTGAAGGAAATCCAGTTCAATAGGTTATTTGTTTTGGTTAGTAGTAAAAACAATAGACTCCATTTCATATGCAGATTTAGGTAATAATGGAGCTATTTCCACCCTCCTAGAGCAAGCCAGAGTAACAAACCAACACCACATAACATCTAATGGCAACTATACTTTCAAGTCATAAATCATAACACCCAAGATGTGGTATGGAGAATCTAATAGTAAAAACAATAGACTCTATTTCATATGCAGATTTAGTTGATAATAGAGCTATTTCCACCCTCCTAGAGCAAGCCAGAGTAACAAACCAACACCACATAACATCTAATGTCAACTATACTTTCAGGTCATAAATCATTACACCCAAGGTGTGGTATGGAGAATCTAAGGAGACGTATGGTGCATTGTCAAGCAAGGTGTGGTCTGTGTGGAGGGCGAGAAGAATCAGTGATGCACCTTTTTATCAGGTGTCTGATTGGAGAGTCGGCCAACACGTTTTTAGAGTGGCTGCAACAGGTATTTCAAGCTAAGAGCATTGGAGAATTGCAGACTTTGATGTGAGTTTGTTGGGGATTGTGGACTGAAAGCAACAAGAGAATGTCAAGACTAAAGCTTATGTGGAAGGACAGATGCAGGCGCAACAGAGAACCTGCAGCAAAGAAATTAACGAGTTGTTGGCAAACAGTGCCGAAAACGACCGGCAACATGCTGAAAAAATAATAATAATGTCAATACTTCTACGGGTGAGGTGTGCTACGGACTAGGCTGGCTTGTCCGAGACGAGTTGAGGGCTACGGGCTATTGTCTTAAACTATTTTCTTCTCTGATTGGGCTATGGTATTATAACATAGTCATAGCAATTGCAACAAGCTTGAGAAAACTCAATTTCATTACCTAGCAAACTTTTTAAAGACACAACCATGGCCGAAGTGAATAGTTTCTAACTCTTCTCTTCTTAGGAAAAGATGTTAACAAAATTTAATGGAGTACGGCAGAGATAGCAATTTCTTTCCTTTTTTTTTGTTCTCTTTTGGTTATAAGATGTTGTAACACGGTTGCCAAGAAGATTTTAAACACATTTTATGAGTTCTTTTGTGGCTATGACTTTCAACTCATAAATGGTAAGAAGATAATTAACTTCACCTTTTCTTTGGTATTTTCTTTACTTCTTGTGCTATGTTTTTGAACAACTATCATCGCCAAAGAGAAAAAAAATATCTTTTTCACTTTATTTTTATTTTCTTTTTGTGGGTTAAACTTAGTTGATGAATTATTTTCTCAACTCTTTGGAGTAAGACTTTGAACTTAGAAAGGGTAGGATAAAAGTAATCACCATTGTAACAATAAGTAATGTACAGTTGCAGTTGTTTCCTCTCAAATAAAAATTATTTCTTCTCTTAGACTAAGATTTCAAAACACAACAATAGTTGTTCCCAATTAAGAGGATTAAGAGTGGTCTTCTGGGGAACTTAAGTATATGATTTGACAAAGATTAAGTCTTTTAATTTTTCACATCTTTTTTTATTTAAAAACATTCTAAGGACTCTTAGTAGTGCAATAAAACGGATGTTGTGAAAAATGTGGTTGTCATATGTATTTAATTTTCAATAGAAACCCAATTATGATTTTCTATTAATAGATTTTTTTTTGTAGTTTTAAAAATAGTGCAAAATATTCTAAAAGGGTGCCTTTTCAACTACAAGAATACAATTTGAATCAATTTTCAAACATAATAGGTCAACTTTATTTTATGTGGAGTACTTTTGCGACCCTACACTTTACTTTTGGATCCCTGCAACGCACGTGTGAAAGACTAGTTTAAGATATTACATTTTTTGTGTTAATTGTAAATTGGATTTTATCTAATATATAAAAATGTACGACAATAGATTAAATGAAAATGTGTTTGTTTGGCATCATTCGATCTTTTTTGTTATGGGAACAACCAATCTCACCGTAATTCAATCATGTGTGTGCGCACGTCTATTATATTTGATATGTTTTTACTTAGACTGTTTTTAGATCTAGACCAGATCAGATCAGATCAGATTTGGATAGTTATAAACAACATAGGAACCAGACTTTACCAGACCAGACTAGACCAGCAAATTTCAGTCCAAGTAAAAACATACTGAGTGTACAAGTGTGTTTGTCAATAGACAAGATTTGTTGAGATTTTTTCGCTTGAAAAATAAAACTTGTGTAATCAGTGGCGGACCCAGAAAGTCGGAGCCATGGGGTCCCCACCCTTGTGTACAAGGACGGAGCCAGACTTGAGTGCAAGGGAGGGCCACAATATAACACATGTAGAAAAATACTACGTATAACTTAGGGTGGACAAAAATTACTGAAAATATGATGCCGGTGTCGAATTTTTAGTCATAAAGTGTACTTTCTAGTGTACAACTTCTAATATTGCATAGTTATATTAGTTACAAGATCAAAATAACAAGATA